AAAATAACCGTCAAACCTTGCATCCCTCTGCATGCAGGGAGGATGTAGTCACTGCCTGAAGAGAGCAGAAAGCCAGACGAAGCTCCTCCTGCGTATCACGGTCCCGCAAACACAACAGCAGCATCATGACAGGCACAGAAGCAAAGGCAAAAATTGCTTTTGAAGAGCGAACAGACAAGGCGGCAGACAAGCCAGAAGCACTGATGTTCGCCAGCCCGCTAAGGAACGAGCAGGCGTCTTGGCTGGATTGGAGATACAAGAAGATCCAGGGCACTGCTGCACGACGTCTTTGCACAGAGAGATGGGGAGATCCCGGGGCAGGGCAGGGGGTACCAGCTGCAGTGATGCCGCTTTACCCAAAATCTGCATCCTTCCCCAAGATCCCCCCAGTTAAGCCCTTCCCTCCTATGATGCCTTGGGACACTGGAAGAAGACATGCTGGGAAAACACCGTGCATTACAAAGCAATAAACACCTCATCCCCATTTCCTTGGTTTTCTGCAGGGAGCTCAAAAATGCAAACTCCTGATAAAAGGAGGCTCGTTTCAGAGAGCCCAGGGTTGGGTGTGACTTCTGGATCAGCAGTGTCACCTCTGTCACCGGCTGTGGATGCTCCCCTGCTTGCACACGCGTCCAGGCCAGCATGGGAAGCGTGTCGGGCTCTGGACCAGGCAATGCTGCAGAGCATCCAGCTAGAAATCATTTAGGAAATCTGGGAAAGCACCTGGGGTTCACAGAGGTACCATCCCTGGTTAAAAAGGTGATTAAAAAGAGGATAACAAAAAGGGATTAAAAAGAAGATAACAAAAGGGGATTAAACCGAGGATAACAAAAGGGGGTTGAGAAAAAGATAGCTCGTAGGAGGTGTGATAGGAAGAGGTCAAACAGCACGGTCTGCGAAGGGGGGTGCATCCTGCCGCTTGTTAGGTTATCGTCTGTTCGCTGGGGATGAAGGAGGGCATCCCGCAGACCTCTGGAGCCCTTTGGGAAGGGACCGGAGGCAGAAGGAAAGCAGAGGTGCCTTGGAGAGCTGCAGCGGGACCTCGTCGTGCCTGGGTCCTGCAGGCTCTGCTTACATTTGGGGCACTGGGGTGCTGAACCCTTCCCTGGGCCCGGGACCTCAGCGGGGTTAAACTTTCCTCTTCCAAAGCCCAGTCAGAGGCTGCAGTGTGTGAACATACGGCGGTAAGTCACTCGGGTGAGATGGAGGAGACTCTGGCACCTGTTCAGGGCTTAACCATCATGATTTGGAGCAGGTCGCTTACCTCCCTGAAGAGTCCTGGCCGTGAGTCTGTCCCCTGCCACGGCACGGACCCGGCGCTCGCTGTCCTCGTGCTCCTCCACGGCACCTCCCTGTTGCCTCCTGGGGACCTTACATCACCAAGTTTCTATTGTAAATGCTTGGTTTAGGGCAGCTCATCCCTCATCGTCTAAGACTTTCTTGAGACCGGACTGTCCTGCATCCTCCTGTGCATCTTCTCCGGCTGCGGTGCTGCCCCGTGGGGCCCTGTGGTCGCTCCGGTGTGACAGAGGTGCAGATTTGGTGACGATGAGTCTGGGGTGGCCAGTCTGGAGGTCGGAGGCATCTGTTTCCGTAACACCTTGGTGTTTTTCTCTTGTTAGGAAAGCAGATTGAGCGAGAAGAAGAAGGGAGCCAAGAATGAAGAAGAAAAGGGAAAGGAAGCTCTTTCCAAAGACCTGGCCCGGAAACGAGATACGAAAGTGGGGAAAGACTCTAAAAAGGAAGAAAGTGTTCAGAAAACAGACCCAAAAGGTAAAGCTGAGGCTGAGACCAAGACCAAAGAGGAGAAGGCTATCAACGATAAAGTCAAGGCCATGGAGAGAAAGCTGATGGGGAAGGACAAAAAGGAGGAAGATAAGGGTTCGGTGTTGAAGAAGGACACGGGGAAGGACAGAAAGGAGGAAGAGAAGGGCTCAGCATTAAAGAAGGATGCAGGGAAGGACAAAAAGGAGGAAGAGAAGGGCTCAGCTTTAAAGAAGGATGCAGGGAAGGATAAAAAGGAAGAAGACAAGGGTTCAGCATTGAAGAAGGGCATAGGGAAGGAAAAAAAGGAGGAAGAGAAGAGTTTGGGATCAAAGAAACAGGCAGAAAAAGACACAAAAGGAGAAGATAAGAAAGAAAAAGACAAAAAAGAAGAGGAAAAGAGTTCAGCTTTGAAAAAATCAAAGGCAGACGAGAAGGAGAAATCCCAACCAGAGGCAGAAAAGGCAGCGGAGGAGAAACAGGAGGCCAAGGCGGCAGCCGAGAGCAGCCCCTCCAAGCCCACCAGTGGCAGCTCTTCAGATCAGGCCAAGGATGACGAGGCCTCCAGCATTTTCGATGAGCTCATCGAGAAGGTGAAGAACAACGACGCCGAGGTCACCGAAGTGAACGTGAACAACTCAGACTGCATCAACAATGAGACCCTGGTGCGTTTCACCGAGGCCCTGGAGTTCAACACCGTGGTCAAGCTGTTCGCCTTGGCCAACACCCGTGCCGACGACCACGTGGCCTTCGCCATCGCCATCATGCTGAAGTCCAACAAGGTGCTGACGAGCATCAACCTTGACTCCAACCACATCACGGGCAAGGGCATCCTGGCCATTTTCCGGGCACTGCTGCAGAACAACACGCTGACAGAGCTGCGTTTCCACAACCAGCGGCACATCTGCGGAGGGAAGACGGAGATGGAGATCGCCAAGCTCCTGAAGGAAAACACCACGCTCCTGAAGCTGGGCTACCACTTCGAGCTGGCCGGACCACGCATGACAGTCACCAACCTGCTGAGCCGAAACATGGACAAACAGAGGCAGAAACGCCTCCAGGAGCAGAAACTGGCACAGGAGCGTGGGGAGAAGAAAGACCTGCTGGAGGTGCCCAAGCCTGGAGCCCTGCCAAAGGGGTCCCCCAAGCCATCCCCACAGCCATCCCCCAAGGCTTCCCCCAAAGCCTCTCCCAA